TGAAGGAGACCAATGCTTCCCCAGAATATTTTAAATAATTATATGGTGCCCCAGATTGGCTAAAAATACATTTGCCATACAACATTTGTAACAACATTCTATAATCTGTACATTTATACACTATCAAACTATGAAGATGGATGTACTTATAATTGTATTTCTTAGCTCATTCCTACAAAACAGGTAAACATTCTTTCTATTGGTTACAATTTCCCTCTGAATTTCTCCTTTTATCTAAATTTTTACAATATATACATTTTTGTTTTTCATGGGGAAATATCTGATCCGGGCAGCAACTGTTCCGGGTAGCTGCAATTCTGCAAATGCAAAAAGGGTTGTCAAACAAAAAGATGCTCATGTTTTAAGGCAAATTTGAAATGCACTGAACTTTGCAAATGCACTAACACTTTATTAGCTATGCTCTTGGCATAAATTTTATACAAAAATCCACACAAGCAATTGTGAGAACAACAGTGGATTGTGATGATGATGAAACCTAATGTGCTATTAATTACTATATTATGGTATTAATTATAGTATTGTTTAAATATGTATTTTATAGATTTACTATAATTAAGTATATTTGATAGTTTTTGGCTTACCATACAAATATATCAATTGCTACAAATTTATATGTCCATTAGGCATCAATGCTCAGTCTTCAAAATATAAAATTGAAGTTTGTTTCGTCCTTTATTACACGCAATAAGGATGAAAAAATGTGCACACCAGTTCATAATCTTGAAAGAATGCCTGGTGTTGCTAAATATCTTCGTACAAAGCCAGAAAATACGCTTTGTCGCAATGATATATGAAACTTGAAAATCGTGTTGCTGATTGTTTACATCAAATCTGATTTCACATATCTCAAGAGGAGGCGGAAGTGACCTATCCTGTATAATTTTCACTATGGCGGTCGAGTGACTGGTTCCCAGAGTAGGCATTTTGACGTATGGCATATAGTAAAAATGCTATTGCGAAACTTGTAAATTTTGAGATTTTGATCGCAATTTACAAAAAAACTGCAGGGTGAACCCGCAAGAACTTTTTAGATTTGGATTCAGCGTCACTTAATCTATAAGAATATGTAATTTTCTTTTAGTTTAAAGAGGTGTGCAACGAAACTAAACATTTTGAGGCACTAGACGACGGCCTAAGTGATTTAGCATATGAGCAAGCAAAATATACAATGTGTTTTTAACAATATTTAATGTGGGTGTATTTATATTACAAGGTTTGATCAGTATTCCGTGATTTTATTTTGTTGTTGTTGCGGAGGAAATCGGGGAAACCCCCCAGTGAGAATCCATTTTTATAGTCTGCGCGTGCGCAGTGCGAGTTTGGCTGAGTTGCGCATGCGTATTTGCTACCAAAATAATGGCGGTTCGAATATTTCGAAGCGCGAAAATATCAAACTTTGGAGGGATTTTTCTCCCAATTGTGCACCTGTTTCACTTGGGGAGCAACGGATTCTGATAAAGTAAGTTTTTATCTATTTATTCATGTGAAAATTACGTAGTTCCACGAGGGGTGCAACGGAATTGCATCTTTTGGATGCTCATCCCACGGCCTATGCTTATGAAGTACGAAGAGAAATCAGACCTGAACAAGTGCTACTGCGTCCGAACACGATGCCAAATTACATGCCCATGCATACTTCATGTGAATCCTTATGGATCGTCCCAGCGAAATGGCGCTTTGTTTGTGGTTCCACGTTTTACACCGGACGTCTAGAGGGCATATACACTGTAGTGTCTGTTACTATAGAGCACTTGGTTTATGTAGTAAAAATAATACGGTAATAACGATAAAGTGTTGAATAAAATGACCCACTTTTTTGGTTGAAGAAACCTTTTGTATAGGTAACGAGAATTTACTATAATCACAACTAATTACTAAATGGTTGAATCCACTGCAGTACAACCATTAACATAAGTAGTTTTAACGGGGTAAAATAGGTTTTCACTATAACCTGGTAAAAAAGTTGAAACAACTGTTGTTTTATCGGTTAATATAACAAAAAAAAATTGGTTAATGATTTTAACCAGTTTATTTTAGGTTAAAACAACGTATTTATTTTGGTCATGACAAATAATAATGGTTAATTTAACTGTTTTGATTTTACAGTGCACGATAAAGTTTAAAAAGATCTTAATAACATATAAAGCTATTTATGGGAAAGCCCCAGAATATATACGTACATTAATTTCTTTAAGGCCTAATTCAAGATATGGACTGAGATCAAACAATAAGATGCTACTTAAACCTCTGGGAGTAAGAACGTTGCCTACTCTTGGAGATAGGGCTTTCGCTTATACGGCTCCACGATTGTGGAACGTATTACCACTGGAACTTACGGAGGAGCAAAGTATTATACAGTTTTTAAACGGAAACTTAAGACATATTATGGCTTATTATGAGTAGTGCATGTAAAATTAGGATTTTAATTTTTTAGCCTGTGTCATTTTTAATTAGCTTAATTTGTAATAATATATACCGGGTATTTTAGATATGTAATGTAAAGCGCATTTGAAAACGTATGTTTAATTTGCGCTATACAAATTAATATATTAATATATTATATATATTATATATATATATATATATATATATATATATATATATATATATATATATATATATATATATATATATATATATATATATATATATATATATATATATATATATATATATATATATATATATATATATATGTATATATATATATATATAAGACCTGCTAGGAGAGACTGATTGCCCTAGGGGTGATAATCCCTGATAGGCCCTGCCAGACTGGTAGCGACCCCTTTGGACATAGACCTGAACCAAGGGGTGATAATGCCGTGAACAGTACCTACGATTCGACTGATTATATATATTTACATAAATAACCTGAGTCTATAGGCCTGAAGTTGACCATTGGGAACACTTCAACCCCACAAATACACAGCATGCATGTGTATTCCCCATAGACGACCTCCCACCACAGCTGTATTCGTACACAAGACAGCTGTTGCCAGATGATAGTTAGACATATATTTGGGCGTTACCATCACTCGTACTATAGCTGGGTAATCAGGGAGGCCAGAAAAAACTTCAATATACAGGAAACCTGGATGGGGCCAAGACAACCAGCAGCTTCCCCACAAAGCTTCTATCTTACAAATTCTTAATTGGAGGGGTTGATAATACGACAAACAAAGCTCACCATCAAGGCACATTTTATTTATTTTAATTTTATTTATTTTAATGTAAATGTGTTCATTAATACGTTTTGCACAACATTTATTTGTTAACCACAGTCACTTATTTTATTTCAATTATGATTGGTAGAACTTTCTCGAAGTATGTGACATTACTCTTCGAAAATAGCTTGTTCATTACTTTAATTCAAAATAGCAGGACCAAAACACAGTTCAGGTGCTTATAACCACAGTGTTGCGATCGAACATCCAATCATGCATTCATGATATTAGCAGAAATTGTAAAAATATGTATTTGGCAGACTAAATAGATCATGCAGTTAAATAATGGTACATCAAAGGATTTTCATACATGGTATCGTACCAATCTTTCATGATATCCATCTTGCCGATTTATTGCGAATGTACATAAACATATTTGTGCAGAGTTCTAAATCTTAAATTCCTTGTACAAATGAGCTTGCTTTCTTGTGTTTTGAACAGTAAAGTATTGACAATCTATGCAGGTCAAATTAATGTGAAATAGCTGTAAAAGAAGTTTTTTTTTATTATTCTATTTTTTCACGATTAAATACAGTAATGTAAGGCCTGATTAAAACCCAATCCAACACCGAATCTGAGGCGTAATCTGAAGCCTATAATCTCCGCTAACCACTAAGGTGGTAATAAAATTGTCACTGGAATTTTTGATCGACAAGTAATACACCAGAATGTTTTTATAAAATAGACTAATTTAATACATTTTGGTTGGTTTGAAACCAATACGAAACAAACGTGTCAATGCACCGCATACTTACGCGCCGAATACCGCTTCACTTTAGGAAGCATGTGCATTCAGACATGGAATGATATTAACTGACGCTTGTTGATTTCGTGTTTACTATTTAGCGGCTTTGGCCTATCGATCTTGTTATTATTCCCCCAGCGGCGGTTTCATTTAATGGTAATAACTTCGTCGGGACTTGAGCCAATTAACGTATTCCTAGTTTGAAATGTGTTTCACTCTTCGGTTTTCGGCGCAAAAACCAGAGCGGGCAGTTGCATTTCACAGCGGGCAGTTGCGTTTCAGAGCGGGCCGGATGAAAAAACCGACCCGCTCAGAAAGGCTCCTCAGCTGATCAGATCGATTGCTTCATTTTCACTGATAAAAAAAAATTCGTGGCTTCGGTGGCGCATTCGTCAGAGCAAGCGCCTTTCACCTGAGTTTGTGGGTTCGATTCCTGCTACGGATGGATGTGAAAAGAGTCTGTCTACACTCTGCCGAAAGTGGTGGGTTTTCTCCGGGTGCCCCGGTTTCTTCCCAAGGGCAAGTTTGGCGCGTAGGTTAGGATAATCATAGTTAGGATAGTAATATCTCATTTGTTGTATATATGATTTTTTAAGTTTCGTCCAACTCAACTACTCGGCTAAAAATGATCAGGTTGTTGCAATATTGATGTAGACAGGATTCAAAATGTTGTGCTGTCCACGTTGTTCACAGTTGTCAACAATATTGAACAATATTGTTACACCCGATTCGGGCTCAACAATATTGTTCAATATTGTTGACAAGTGTGAACAACGTGGGCAGCACAACATTTTTCAATCCTGTTAAACAGCAGTGTTCCGTGTGGTGAATATCTCATTTCAAATTCACTGGATGTGATGCACACTGAAAGTGATGACACTGATTATTACTGCATGGTGACCCTGGTGGTTTACGAAGCGGACAATTGCGGTGATGCCCAAAAGAGTTACGCCACTGACATGACAGCAATCTTATTCGCAACCCTATAATCTGAATTTTCTCTTTTAGGGCAAAAATTTGCAATGATGGAAGAAAAAGTCGTACTAGCTTCAATTATACGTCATTTTCATATCAAGTCAACGCAGTTGACTGAGGATATCAAGATAACTCCTGAAATTATTCTTAAGTCCACCAATGGTGTTATGGTGAAACTGGAAACGAGAAATTTATAGAGATTTCTTTGCTCTGTACTCTGATGAAAACAAATAAATGCAAACCTCGGTCAAATACATCCTCTGCTCAACGACACTTCGGTCATGCCACTTCGGTCAACGACGCATGGTCACCTAAAGTCGCAGTTCTTCGTTGTCTCGAGGGATGACGTCATCGACCAACAAGGTCTAGATAGGTTGTTGAAGATGACGATCTCTATTTAAGACAGTATTGTGCGCATGTTCTTACATGACGCTTCTCACGAACGACTGTTTCAACATGTATAACCGGCAACGTCGCAACTGTAGATCATCCATGATTGCGGAGGTGATTGCACTTCCCAATATTTTTTGCAGATTTCATAATTGTATGATGGAAAGTTCTTTGCAAAGGCACGGTTGAAATACAGGCTGTATAAAAAGTAGACAATTTTGAAACGGCTCTCAATTTCACAAATCCGTTCATTTCATGAATTTTTTGTTAAATATAAATTTTTTAGGTACTTATAATATAGATTAAACAAAGATAAATTTTTCCAGGGGAGGG